GTAATTGGTTATACATACCATGCATTTGGGTAGTTTGCCCAAATGCACCCCATTTATCATCACCCCTCAAGGGAGCGTCTCTCAATTGGCATTTTTACGCAAACCATACAGGCTACAGCTGTCCAGAAAGGCGCTGAAAGGAAACAATTGGGAAATGTATTTTCTTTAATTACTTTCCATCAGAAAAGAGCTTTTTTAAGCGTAAGTATCGTTTGTACTTCTTAACCTTCCAGGCGGGGGGGGCATTTTTTTGCCCCCCCCCCCCTTTAGTTTTTTCGATATATCTCGAGAACCGCTGCGCCGATCGTCACCAAACTTTCGGTACCCTCCCGGGAGCAGCTAGCGCACATGGTGACCAAAAATTTTTCCAAAGGCTATGATAAGTTGGCCGCTAATGACGTCAGAGTGACGTTATTTTTGCCATTTTCGACCCAAAAAAGGTTTCGCGGGAAGAGCTGTCAGGCCTACAGCTTTAGAGATATAGAAAAATATTTCAGACATAAAAGGTGTAGAATTAAAAGGGCTACAAAACTGCTATTTCGGTTTTTCGAATTTTTTGGATTTTGACCCCCAAAAATCAAAAAATAGATTTTTTGAATATAATAGCAAAAAAATCCAAAAAGTTTTTTGATATTCGAAAAAACCGGAATATATGTGATAGCCCCTACCGCCTTCTACCTACATACCAAATTATAGATCGATACCTCTTTTTTTGGCCAAGTTATAGCGAAAAAACTGTTCAAAATTGATGACGTCAAATTTTCAAACTCAATTTTTAGCAATTCTAGACCTCGTAGCGCAAAACAAAGACCACCATTAGACTCCCCGTGACGAGCTGCATCGAATCGATATCAATTTTAGGCAAAAATATCAACTTTGAAATTTGACCTTTTTTGACCTGACCTTGACCTGACCTCCACCAGAAAGTGACCTAAACCGTACCTGATGGTCTTATAACCAACACCATTGAGTTGGAAATTAAAAACTGGCCATAAAACATGCATCGCATAACCTTAGTAAAGTTGGGCTCATGTGGTGACCCTTGGTGACCTTTGGTGACCTGACCTGTGACCTGACCTGGTGTGACCAGTGACCTCTAATAGCAACATATGTGCTAGACAACTAACGCCTTATCGCTGATTTTCGACAAAATGCGTTTTACTCGGTGTTATAGCGCTTTCCCTAGAAGCCCCGTGAACGGTGAAACATTTTATCTTTGACCTGACCTGTGACGTCATCGGTGACCCCGAGGTCAATGAAATTTGGTTTCCTTCGACAAATTTGACAGGACTATCGAACGCCGTTTGAATTTTCCGGATCCGTCCAGTAGTTTCGGAGATACGGGGGGGGCAAAAAGTGCCCCTCCCCTACCGCGCGGAAGGTGGCTGGTAGGCCCACCGCCTGCCGGGTTAAGTCAGACAAAATAGACGTATTCACTGACACATAGCAAAGGATCCATGTATGTATTTGCAAAATTCCTCCTTCTGTTGTGCTACACAGCATACCGGGCAACGAGTATTGTGTGAGGAATCGCTGTGATGATTAAGAGACACCCTCAGAAGACTTCTCGTGAAAGAGCTCGCCTGTTGGCCATCTCTCAGTTGTATTACGACTGCACTGGGCTCTGACAGTCAACCGGGTCATGGCCGTATGAGGCAGGCGACAGCCACCTAGTCTGGAAAGTTTGCTTGTTCGCAGCTCTAAAGTTTACTCGACAGGATGTTGATAAATTTCCCACTGTTGTTCCGCTGCGGAGAAACAGTTTGGCTCTATTTCTCACTTAGCGACATCAGGTCGGAAACTGGAGAACTTTGTCGAACAAGTTGACCACCGAGACCCGAGAGATCTAAACTGTAATCGTGTAATTGATGCGGGCATCTGGATTGTATATGATGCAAAGGATCCAATAAACACATCGGTACCATCACAATGCCTTTTTGAAACATACAAATTTTATACATTTTATCAGCAGCTGCTAATAAACTAAAGCGTCATGACACAACCAAAACCGGACTTCAAATCGGTTCTGCAACGCGCCCGACTACCCCAAAATCACCAACAGCCAGTGTCTTTCCTCGCACCCTCGGGCGGAGCGGGGAGCCGATTGAGCCATTGAGGGTGTTGGGCGCCGCGGCGCGGCCGGCCCGATGATTTGTGTGTTTGTTTGGCCGTCACAGCTGTGTTTCGGGGCAGGCCGCCGCGCTGGGGACGTCCCCGTGCAGTCGGCTCGTTCGCCCTGTCACTGAGACTCGGCGGAAATTGGCTGCGAAGAGCTATGGTGCTGGGAGGCAGGGGTACCAGTGTGCTGCGGCTGTCGCTCCGAATGCAGGGCTTGGAGACACTGAGGGAACGGTGGCGGGGTCTAGGAAGGGGGATTCCAGTGCGGCTGCGAGTTGGTGTGTATTATTGATATTTACACATATCGCAAACTCTACTGAGTTTATAGCACAGCAGACAATAGCTTCAGTGATAAATATGAATGAGTACGATGTCACACCATTGCGAAATCTTTACATTATTTTCGTCAATTCTGTGCACGCCATGTCAGCGGTCTAATGACTCGGAGAGCAGCGTAAAGGAACTGTTTCACCTTGAAAGTCATCGTCTGATCAAATTAGCTGTGTAGCTATATAATCTACCATTAAAGCTCGGTATGTGCTTTCTGTGAATTATGGTGTCGGTGTGTTTGATTTACAAGAAATACGCATGAAATAATTATTTGTTATCTGTATCAAAACCTTTCCTTGAGTTCCTTAGCTTAGTTGCATTCCTTCTCCTTTTAGGTCGGTGAATATGCAGACAAGGCTAGTATAGTAAAGGTCAATGCATCAAGTCGATAGGCGAGAGTTCAGTCACTCCCGGTCACCGTCTCAGGCTCAGTTCAGCAAACAGATAGTCAAAGCACAGCCGAAACTGTCCAAAGTGGCTTACATAAGAGCACTCAGAGCCTCCTTAGCTCGATATTGCACCTCTCGAGAAGGGCCTCGCGGGCAGATACGCCAACCGGTACGATACTAAGCGCGCCTCTCACTACACTGAGAGCGCCCCTCACTGCGCTACGATCGGACATTGAACGTAACCCTCGCAGCCTCTGATGGCACGTGGTCAGCTCTGCAGTGGTTACCTGCAGGCCGCACACAACAGATAGGGCGTTATCGCGTCTGAACACATTCAAACGGACGACCTCGGGAACGGGTTGATCACGCTGTCTGAACGCTGTTCGCGGAATGACACTGCCCAAAATCGGTCCAAGCAGAGGGCTGCAGTAATCCAAAACGGGCGCAAACGGCAGACTGCCTTATCAAAGGGTCTTATCGGTGCGCAGGTGCCGAGTCTCATCAGTGCTGGCCAGAGTTTGTGCGGAACTGCTGCGCGGTATCAGGGCACACTATGCAGATGAAGGGCTGAGAGTTTCTAGGAATGGAGGCGGTCTTCTGCTATGAGTGTGTGTTTTAACTTTTGAGACCAAAGGTGCGGCATAGGTCCTCAATAATGGAAGTTTTATTTGATCAGGCATTTTCTTTTCAAATATGTAGGCATTTCGGTACCTGCTTAGGTTTATGTAGGCGTCATCACTCATCAGTGCATACTATAGGGTTTGAATCCAGTAGAAGAGACTAAGCATGGTACCGGCCAATACGTACGAGCATTCCCGCCATCCCCAAAGTTACGACGTATGCATATGTGTATGGAACATTGCACATATGTACTCTGATGACGCTGAGGTCCTATGATAAAAATAGGCATGGATACGTAACTATGGATATTTCTTGGTCTATATAAATCACATAAATGAACATGCTAAAGCACTGTGAAAGAGATTGACCAGCATACTTTTTATTGGCTCTCTCGGGACAAACACCGACTTACGTGTACGTCAACGGAATCTCTAAGACGCAGGAACATGCCAGGACGACTGACTGCTCCCGGAAGTTCTGAATCCCGTCCAAGAGCGCCTCCTCTGATATATCTGAAAACGTAAAGGTTCTTCCAATCACGCCAAATGAGATTGCAGAGGGCTTTACTGGAGCGACCTGGGACCCGGTGCTTCTGGTACGGCTCCGTTGGCCAAATCTCACTTCAATCACACACATCCGCCGGTCCGCGGCAGGCGGTGGCGGGCGACACGCAACTACTACACCGATTGCAGACGGGTCTGCACCGACTCCGACTCAGACACCGTACTGACTCTGACTCAGACACCGCACTGACTCACCGGGTCCGAGCAACTTCGGCCGCCGGAGGACGCAGTACTGTCAGTCACGGAGTTGTAGGTATACTGAATAGTGAATAGGTGGCAAAGTCGGATGGCGTTACTTTTACATTGTTAGTTGCCAGTTGAATTAGGTGGTTTTCATCTTGTCTTTTAAGTTGAGTTTATCCCAAGTAAACACAATTTTTGATGGCTTATCTGGTAGCATGAAAGGAAATTGGATTGTCTGAATTGATCGAGGCAATTAAAAACTCTGTCTTCTTTGCGATAAAAGGACCGGACCGGGTAACACCAGCTCCGCCCCTGTGCTGCTAATTTCTGCTTAGTGTTTGCTTACAGCTCAACAGGGCCACTTGCAGGCGCCATGTGCTCTCATTTTGGATGAATAGTTAACTGCAGAAGCGGCACCTTATCTGAAGTTCATTAGTGAAATCCTCTCGGAATCAGACGCTTCACTTCGCATTGAAGCCCTGTTCGGCATCAGTCGGAAGGATTACGGTACAGCTGATTGAAGACTACTGAAATAAGCATTTAACGGATTTGAGTTCACGGTGGATTTCAGAAGTACCCAGACGTTGCAGATGGTTGTACTGAATTATTACCCCTTTATCGAGTGTACGAATACATCAACCGTGCCGCCTTGAGTTTGCAGCAAAGTAATATGAGCATTCGTTGGGCGATGAGCTCTATCTCCGTCACTCTATGATAGATTTGCTGTGTCCATGGCCAACAAGCGACAAGACTTTTCTAGAGCCGTCCAGTCTCACTGCTACTGTGAAAACAAAAATGCGATTCGGAATGGACGTATATTACAAAATATCACAGCGATTTCGAAAAGGGCGTAACACAAGTCATCAACATCAAAACATCAATTACGCGCAAAACATGCAGTCGTCCAGTGAGCGAAATAAACGGTATAAAATGCATCGGCAGCTATGTTCTACTCCATGGCTCGAAATACTGCTTAATTGATAAATAATGATTGTGACATACACGAGCACACATGAGACCAAAGTCGTATCTACAAAACATCTCGCCCGATAATGCTAGGTTTTCAGTAAAGCGCAAACTGAAAATGGAATGAGCAGCAAGTTACAATTCACGTACGCTTAGGAAGCTACTGACAGAAACTTTTATTCGACTACCTGGTAGACGATGTTGTACAAATACTGCCACTATGTCCAATTACATTTTCTTAGTTCGTATGCCTTCTATCAAGTGTGCAGCATTGGTTAGTTTATGTCCAAAGAGTTCCAATTCAACCATTTATGAACGAATGTTCATAGCCAAACGTCAAACATGCATGATTAATACCGTATGAGGCCAATTTCAGGATAAATGACTTAAAAGCTTCAAATCAATATCATTATGTAGCTGTCCATCATTTTTCGGACTCTTGTCATACGTTTGGGCACAAAGTAACAGATAAGAGAAATTATATCTCGTATTGGGACACGTTACACGTTTACTATATAATGCGAATTAGTGCCGAGTGATTCGGTGACACCGTTTGATATACGAGCATGACATTTATTTTCACACCCCTTCCCCTCCTCCACTGATGATATTTTACAATGTAGGTACACATCACGAAGTCGTGAGAGCTCTCACGATCTAAAGACGCGCTATCTGAGACACCAATGAACACTGAGTAGTCTCAATGAAGTCAGTCGAGATCCCGACAACCAACTTCACCTTCACGATCGCTGTGACACTGAGCAAACGTCCGGCCGCTGCCAGCGTCTCTGCAGGAACGATCAACAAAGCGTCCGGTTCGGCCCGTCGCTGACTAGACATTCACTTACGCTCGGTGATATCGTCTGGACGCCAGATATGGGTGAGTGGCAGCGCCTCAGCCGCTGTTCCCTCCGCCCTCAGTGAGGAGGGGACCGTGCGGCGGCCGCCCAGTCCGTGTCAGAGCTCCAGCTCACCCACGTCCACGATGACGGTCTCCATGCCATCGGGCGGCACGCGGCGCTGGCCGGCCGTGCTGCCCCGCTTCAGGATCGGCCTCAGTGGCTGCGGCTGGACGTCGGCCACGTCAGGCGGCGGCCGCAGCAAGGGAGACACGCATCCGCCCGCCACCAGCGCCTCGACGGCCCGGTACAGGAACAAGTAGTCCTCGCGACTGGGCCAGACGCCCGGCCGCCGCCGCTGGTACAGGCGCGCGTACATGTACACGTCGGCGTGCGACTCGTACTCGAGCTGCTTCATCAGCGTGGTCAGGCAGCAGAAGGTGGCCGCCTCGGTGCCGCCGAACCGGTCCACCACCACGCACGGTCCGTTCTGGTACTCGAGGTGCCAGCGCTGCACCACCTGGATCAGGTCGAAGACGTGTCCGATGGGGGAGCAGCTGGCCGGCCAGTTGGAGCACTGGATGATGCGCACGGCCAGTTCGTAGTCGTCCTGCAACCAGACACATACAGCGCGTTAAAAAAGCATAACGAAAATAACCCGACAATCTTTTTGTCGGAAAAGCGGAAGAAGTGAGTCGGCACAACAGCAACTTTCGGGTAGGCTGACCCGCAGCACACAACTGCAATGCGGCACAGTATGTGTGTCCAAATGCTCGAGAATTCTCATTTCCCGATCCACTGGGCGTTTTCAAGGGACACATGATGCCATGCAAAAAAAAAAAATCATTAACACCCTAGCAAAATTTTTGATTGATCATGGCAAACCTACCGTGTGAGATTGCAGTGTGAAGTCACGCAGGACGTAACTTCCGGCCTGGTTCTCTGCTGTGAACCGAACTCTGAAGTGTTCAAACTCCAGGTCATCATGCTCCAGTGGCCAGAAGATGCAGTACTCCTGGAAAATGCGGACAACGCGTAAAATGACCAGCCCTTACATCGCATTGTTGACGGGTGAAAGCCGAATATTTTGAAGACATTCGTCACCGTCACTATCTCCTGGTAATCACACCTTTATCGGCCTTTTATGCATAACACATGGCTAATCTAAACAGATAATAAAGCTAACGAGTTCCGATCCTCACCTGGTCATCGACTGGGCTGAGGAGGACGATGGTCTGCGCGTTGTGATCCCAGACCATCTGCCAGAAGGCGGCCAGCGTGGAGGCCAGCGGGTGCTGCGTCACGATGAACTCGCGCAGCCGACCGAAGCCCGGCAGCCAGGAGGCGTTGATGAAGTCGGAGCACTCGACGCCGGGCCGCGGGCTGACGCAGACGCGGCTGCACTCGCTCGGCAGCAGGCCCGGGTGGCGACTCTTGTGCGCGTTGGCCGGGTGCCGGCCCGAGGATAGATTGAAGTCAGACGGCTTGTCGTAGGTCACCATCTGGAGGAGGAAAAAACGAGGGTTATAACAATGATGCCACAAATACTTAATTTGCAAATGAAGTTAACAGTACAACCGATGCAAGCTTTGTAATGTTGGGTTGCACTGAAAGTGGTTTACTTATTACGAAACTGTTCGAGATTATTAGCAATCTCCGAGCTTGATCGGAGCTTCCCGTGCAAGGTATATCTGAAATAAATGGCGAGCTTATCCCGAACAGTTTCCAGTGCATCAGGAACGAATAAGTAGCCTCAAGGGAATATTCAACGTGCGTTACGGCGTGCTGAGGCGTTAAGGTGCCCAGATACGTCATTTCGTTTTATGTCACCACCATGACCACTACTATGCGAACTCACCCCGAATTGTCTGTCGAGGCTGTACCAGGGGTAGATGTCCTGCTCGGTAGTCTGCAGGTTGTGCAGGTAGCGGCGCAGGAAGGTCCGGTGGATGTCCGTCTCACCGCTCTCGATGGCCTCCAACAGGGCGTCGTGCAGGAAAATGTACTGCTCCTCCGTCTGCACTAGGAAGTTGCGCTGCGTCCGGATGTACTTGAGGAAGCCGAAGACGTTCAGCTCGCCCTTGGCCCGAATCATCTTCATCATCGAGTCTAGCACGATGTAGGTGCCCGTTCGACCTACACCGGCGCTGAGAAACGAAAAAGCCATGTCAGTCAAAGAGCGACATTAATAGTCGATCATGGCTTCTTGTTCCCACTGATGTCAGCCAAGCATGGTATATGGACTGAAGCGTGGCTCACCTGCAATGGACGACGATGGGTCCGGCGCCGTCGGGGTTGGCGGCTGCCGACTTTCTGACGAAGCTGAGGATGGGCAGCGGGCTGTCGGGGATGCCGTGGTCGGGCCAGTTGGTATAGTGGTACTGGTACACCACGCGCTCCGTGGCTGCCCGACTCTTCTTCTTTAGCTATTAAAAAAAAAAAAAAAACATAAAAGGTAGATGTTACAGAGTGATATGGGATGCCTTTTGATCATTGTATTGATACCAAAGACAAGCTAACGTCGCTACTTCAAAAGTGCAGCGGCACTCTCAATTACATTTTCATCTTTAGTTTCATTGCTAAAAAGAAGGAAGCATTTCCGGAACTGCTCACTAAAGAAAATCTTCTTCCATTACACCACAACTGCAAAGATTACTGTGCTCAAGAGGCGTGGGCTTTAGACCCAATTACACCACACCAGCCACAAGTCAGCGTCAGATGAGTGATGTGTGGCGCCGCCGACTTCCTACCGTGCGGCCGAGCACAAAGTGGCCTGTCTAACCACAGCTTCAGACACAACAGCGCTCAGCGTTGGCCCAGCCGCCCCGAGTCCGTACCGTAAAAACAAACTGAAATATTGCGCGCCAGAAAACCATTTACGCGGCCGTTCCAGCCCGATGGAAAACAACCGAGGCCGACCAGCAAACGACAGGATAAATACGGCATCTGCAGAGAGCGCGACCACCGCAGGAGCCGGCGAAAACAAGCGGCACAGATAGCCGCATCTCCCAGGGGTCGGGCGAGCGGGAGTGATGGACGGACAGGTCATTAGGACGCCACTTCTGGAAAGGTGGGAGAAGCGAGGTGAAATTATTGACATAGTTACCTCTAACTGGTGGCTTATTTCCTTTCTGGACCGGGCGAGGGCTATCCATCAGTGGTGGCAAAGTAGGGCGTACCTTCAAATGCTGGATTCGGAACTTGCGAATCGTGTAGGTCGCCATCACGTCCTGGCCGAGGTTGGTGACTCTGACGACGCCGAACGTCTCTGTTCCCTCCTGGGGCCAGTACATGTCGCACTTTTTCTGTGAAGACGCGATGTAGGTCATTGAACACCATCCCGCGCTGGCAAAACATCAACATCGACACATCAGCCAAATGACACAACTTTGGCAGCGCGCGGCCGCCGCAGCGCACACAAGCAGCCTTCAGGTGTCGTTTTCGGAGCGCAGCCCACTTTGAGCGCGCGTGATCAGCGTGTAAGCAGACCCGGCTAGTGAACTAATCCGCAGCTATTCTGGAACGGCCCTCATTCGACACATTTACTGCAAAAAGCACTCGGCGGCGGACCAGAGAGCTGTCGCGGCCAGCAACAACAAATCAGCGCTGTTTACCTCAAAATAAGCCAGCGCCGACAACTTAACGGCCTCCTAGTGAACAGACATGGAAAACAAGACACAAAAATGGTACACGTGTTAGCCGATCATTGATAAATGGCGCCAATCTGAAAACTAATATAATGGACAGTAAATAGTTCATCTTTTGTTAATTATTTCGCCGTAATAATAAAAGATCGCATCCCAACTACAAATTACGTTAAGTTTTTTTTTTGTGAATCATGTTGTGGACCATTATCAATCCCGCAGCGCTTGGCGTTAGTCTGAAAACTTCACACCAATATTGCCACTTAAACACCCCATCTACCCGGGCGGCGATGGCTAAAACGTCATGAGGTTCACACCTCTAAGCGCCCCAACTTTTCACCGGGCACTTCCGCAGGCGCTGCATGCACTGGCCGCGACTGGATGGCGCGATACCAGATGAGAAAATCGCTTAACTTCAACACGGGCACAAAGTGGCAATTCATTTAGGGCCGGCTCTCGGCAGCTGGAGCCTGATCGATGCGCCGACCCCAGGGAGTCAACTTACCCGTCCGCGCTCCACCAGGTTGGTGATCATGACGAGAATGTGCACGTTCTGCTCCCAGACCATCCTCCAGAAACAGTCGAAGGTGGCCGGCAGTGGGCCCTGGGTGCCGATATAGGCGCACGGCTTCTGGTAGCCGTCGATGAAGTTGGCGTTCACATAGTCGCACCGCTTCTGGGAGCCCATCGGCTGAAGGGGCACCCGCGTGTGGTCGTCTGGGGGAAAAGGAGGGAATAAAGGGTAGAGTTAATCATTCGAGATATACATAAATGGGCAACACATCACTTTATTCATATGCTAAGACAGAACAGCACACTGCTGGCGGATGACCAGCATTATAAATATGCAAATGGCCTGAATGAGTGGATAAAGTCCATAATCACCGATGTAGGCGAATATCACTTACACGCCACAATATTCAGGTATCTGTTCTTGTCCTTGTTCTCGGTCTGCTGACTGAAGTCGGAGGTGTATCCGTCCAGCAGGGTCTGCGTCTGGATGGCCTCGTACTCCTTGCTGAAGCCGATGTCGCCGTCGGCGTGCAGTCGGCTCACGTGTTTGGGGAACAGGTGGACGGGGATGGGGGCGCCCGGCCCGTCGGGACAGTCGGTCTCCCAGTCGGTGGAGAGCGTGGATGGTGTCTTGTTGGGCTCGTCCAGGTAGTTGTACGCCGCCTGGAAGTACTTCCTGCGAAGTGGATATGCACATATTTATAGGAACACATTCTCAGTTCGCACCGCAATCGGAACTAAATTGATTAGAGCTCGATGCTTGAAACTTAAACACCGCGACATGATTAGAATGAAACGCGCGTGCGATTGTCACAGCTTAAACAACAAACAACAGTATGCAATGCATGTTACAGGCATACAATATGCTAACAGTGGTTCTGCAGTCCTGACGCTCACCTCCAGAATATAAGCGCCAGCATGGCGAGCAGCAGCGCGAAGCTGGCACAGGCCAGGCCGGCCACCATTCCTGAGCTGAGGTTCCAGCCGACGTGACGCCGCTTCTTCAGACTCTCCATGCGCTGGATCCTCTCACAGTCGTGCTGCAGTCTCACGGACCGGGTCTCGGACGGCTCTCCCCAGTAGAGCAGCGAGTCGTTGAAGCGCGACTTGGTGACCCCCACCACATGCACTTCGTATATCGTGTCCGTTGTTAGGTTAGCCAGTGTGATCTGCCGAGGTAAAAATAGCACATCAGCGCGATTATACGTGGCGTCTTTAAAATAGTTTCCGTGACGTAAAAGCAGATTGTCCGTGACATTGGATATGATGAATTTGGTCGGGACGACATACGCGGTGCTCTGACGATGATCATCAATCTTAGGACGGTCAAGGTCGGGCCACGCCACCAAAATAGTACTAGGTCTAGGTCGTTCAATAAGCAAGGTAAAATCACACGTATTTCAGTCCATATTTGGTGCAACGACACAAAACTAGCAACATATTTTCATTGAAATATCGTCTACAAATTGGCTATAAGCATTTGTTGGCAGGTCTCTTCGGCCAGCCTCCCCAGCCTTCGGAACTCGAGCCTACATCCAATCACCGTTCAGGTACGCGTTTATCCCAGCACTCCACCCGGCGTGGAAATCCTGCTTGGAAAACTCCTTATTGCTATTCCAAAGCCATGTCTTGATTATTTTATTGATTGCCTGATCAGTTAAGAATCCAACGTACACAGCAGGTTTTCCGGTGGTCCAAACAGGTTCAAGTGGGATGGCGCCAGATCACGGCTGTACTTAAGCTTTCCTGTACTGCTAAAGCAAAGCGAGCCCCACACTGATGCCTCGCCAGGCGTCCTTCTGTTATCCAGTGAGCTCTTTCGGTATTAACCTCGTGATGACCTTGTAAATATCAAGCATATCTGATGATGCCCAGAACTGTTTCGACATAACACTTCACCCTGTTAATGAAAGCAGTCGCCAGTCACGCACATGCTTTGGGTCTCCATAATCAGCTCCCTGACTTTACAGATAGTGCCAAATCCAGAGAGGCCTGCGGGCACAAGTACCTGCTCTAGAACTTTGTCTCTTACACTGCAGCTGTGTTCTTGTTGAAATCGTACCAGCTGTTCACCAGGAAGCATTGCTAATGGCAATAGCGTCATCAGGGTCAACTCACTCATTTTGAGGCGGATTTTGGCTCGCATGACAAACCGGGGATTTTTAGAACGGAACTCTGCTGCATCAATGTTTTCACACCGACCGTGTTCGGACAATGATCCAAACTCCCAAAAACAGTTTCGAAGGTTGTGTAGGAAATTGTTCAAAGATTCAGATGGCATATTTGATTTTGCTTGAATTCCTCATATAAATGAACTATGGTACATTTTACCTTACTTATTGAACGACCTAGAGCTCATAGCAGTATCAGCATTAAATAACAAGCTTTAAAACAGCTTTATGTTACTTTATGATTAAAATGAACTTTTCACATAAATAATGCATGCACAAATATTATTCGTGCGTACACCGTAAAAGTTCGGTTCTGTAACTGTAACCCACCTGTTCCTCTGCGACCTCCGGATTGGTCTCGATCATGACCTGCTCGAGGTCCGGGTCGAACTCGCCGCGGTAGCGCACGTAGTAGAAGTCGATGGATCCCCGCAGCTGTCGCGGCCGACGCCAGCGCACCACGATCGACGTGTCGGCGCGGCACGTGGCGTTAGTGATCAGCGGCGCGCCCGGACCGCCCACGTCCGTGCGCAGCGAGAGCGTCTCGGAGCGGTCACCCTCGTGCTTGCTGGTCTTGGCGTGCAGCCACACCGTGTAGCGGGTGTACGGCACTGAATGAGGGGGAAGGGCGGGAAGGGAGGCTTAGTGAGGGTCTCGTCATGGCGTGTAGTCTAGCTACGCCAAGGGTGTACGGCATTGCGTGGAGGGGAGGGGTAATAATTCACACTGCGATTAATTTGTATTAATAGAGATTCAGTTAGATTCAGTGATTCAGATTAGATTCAGTATTGATAGAGATTCGGTGATTTAGCAAATCATTTGTTTGAGTCGTTCATAGTTTGCCCAGGTGTGAGCATTTCAAGACACTGCACACTGCAGTGCACGAATAAAAAAGTACGGTTACCTACGGCAGGGGGCCACCCCTAACCCTATCTCCTGCCCCGTCGCCGTCACTTACTCAGCCCGGTGAGGTTGTACTCCATGCGCGGCCGGGCCTCGGTGATGATCCGGTTGTCGGTGATGTTCCTGTCGTAGTCGGTGAACTCGAAGTAGAGGTAGTAGCCCACGATGACACCGTTGGGGTGGATGGGCTCGCTCCAGGTCAGCCAGGCCCAGCTGTCCCCGACGGCGGCGTGCGTCAGGTTCTCCGGACGCTCCGGCACTAAGAAAGGAGGAGGGGGAGAGGGGAGAGAGAAGATCAGCATTTTGAAATGATTTGGATATATTTCTTCTGAAGATGAACTCATTCGTATAGGTACTGCATTCCTCGTTAAGATCTTCATAGCCTAAAAGTAATCATCATTCGAGTAAATTAAATTGCCTCTTGAGTTGGATTAGTCAAGTGTTCAGAGAAACGGCCGAGAATTATACTTAACACGATAATTAACATGAGAAACAAAGCTAACGATCACACCTGAAATAATGAACATACCTCCATCTTTGGTGGTTTCCCTAACGACAGTGGCCGGACCCGCCCCCATCATATTCTTCACTTGAATTCGTATCAGGTACTCTGTGTACGGTCTGAGATCCTCAATTACGTGGCTCTGAAAACAGAATATGCATGTTAGAAAAAGTATTCATTCAGCAGAGAGACGGCTGCTACAATAAAGCCAAATATCGGTGTTATAAGGCTCAATGAAAGAGACAAGTACAGCCTAAGTGCATTTGGCATATACACATAAAGGTGAAAATGTTAGGCATTCTCGAGTATTATATGGGAACAATATTGCTCTACGCTTGAAAACAAATCACCATAATTCCTCGGGTGCACTATAAATACCTCGCCAGTAAACCCTCGTGCCCCTCCTAAAATCACCAAACCCAGTGTGGGCTACCACAAAAACGATCACACCGCTCTCGTCGTCCCGTATTGGCACTCTCTGGGACCAGGGGCTCTCACGGTCTGCCGTGCGGCTCTGGCCACCCTCCGTTTCACGGCCGTTTAGTGGTCGTTCGTGACCAGTTTACAGCGAGCTTCTGAGCCGGGCTCTCTCGGTAAAAACGTGCGTCCGCCACGACCGTACGGCCGCCGACGCGAGGACAACGCGCCCGCCAGACACAGCGGTCCGTTTACGACGCGGCCGGCGCCGCCGCCGCCGGCCGAGGTAGATTCGATTACGGCGCAATGTCCGGTGAGGGACGGACACAAACGTGGCGCGACAGAGACGCGGCGGCGCCGTCACCGCCCACCCAATAGCCGGCTTGTTTGCGCCGAGCTTGGAACGAATGGCACAGGGACGCGGAGCGGTGTCTATGTCTCTCCTGGGCAATGAACAATGGCTGTTCGTGGTAGCGCTCGCAAGAAATCTGCCGTGGAATTGACGGTTCGTCCGCGCGCCTTCCGCTGCCGTACCGTCGATTCGTTGACGTTTCCCGGGAGGTCGGTTTGGGTCCACTCCATATCGACCTTGTCCCGAGGTCGGACGGAGAGCCGGTAGCCGATAAACTCTCCGTTCATCTCGGACCGGTCCGGCGGCCTCCAGACCACCTCGATCGAGTCCGAGCTCGGACTGAACGTCTTGATCACCGTCGGCTTCCCGCTCGGCGCTGAAAAACAGTACCAAATGTCAGCAAAGTTAGAGCTTGTCTCGTGTGTATACAGGGACTAAAACAACGTAAAAAGGCACCTATAACTGCTGGGTCTCTTGGTATCGACAAAACGCTTTCATACGCTCAGCACATATCAATTAAGACAAAACATTTGCATATTTTATACAAAAACAAAAACAATGTTTTCTGACATATCGAGTACATAACAGCTCTCATCAGCGTTTCGCTCTGCAAGCAAATCGCAGAACCCAGCTGGCTTGGTCGCAGCCGGGTTTTCATAGTCCATGGATTTAAATGTCATCTGGCTCCGGGCGCTGAATTTCAGCCACATACAATAATCATATCGGAGCAGAGCATCTCAGCCTGTGCGATCCGACCGAGCTGAAAATAGACCACCGAGAATCAAATGACACTGGGCCCATAGCCCAGTGGCCCTATTCGAGCTTCATGGCTGGGCGGGACTTCAGCACACCCCCGATGTGATAAATGGAAGCTGATAGGGACATTCATCAAAGGTAGGAAACTTGCAGTTATGTGTTTCGTGACAGATGTCTTGATACAGGTGATATCCGTCTTGGCTCACGTTGATCGTATTTATAACTTTTATAAATCAATTTATGACGCATGATTATCGACGAAATTCTATGTAAACACGCACAGAACATTATTTAAAAGTAAAAAAAAATTGATAAAACTGCCGAAAAATACAGCTTTCCGTCCAAACAACAAGCATATTGAATTACAAAAACAACATGTGAATACTCTCCAAAAGCCGTACTACGTATTTTTTGGTGCGCCCCTCGGCGCAGAGACCTTGGAGCAGCCGAACTTAACTCCGCACACGTCCAAGCTTTGGCCATTGATTAGAGCCGTGCCCATTAACTCCAGCATTCATCACAATGGCGCCGCTGGCCGACTTTAAATATTTAACGGCCGCCGCAGGCCTGCTCCGGCCTTTGGCAGAAAATAGATGCCTGATCACCGATGCCCGTCAGGAAAGTCAGCCCCTCTCATATCGCTAAACATGCATCATGCACATTTATTTATAATATAAATCCCGATGATATTATAAGTTTGGAATATTGTATTGCCCTAGAAGGTCATAAGAACACACGTGGCGTCCAGCTACTCACGTTCTCTGTGTGTGACCATCGGGTAGGAGGGTTCGCTGGCCAGACTGCGGCCCACGCTGTTGACAGAGAAGATGCGGAAGCTGTAGGCCGTGAAGGGCAGCAGTCCCGTGACGTTGAAGGTGGTGCGGTTGTCGGGGATGGTGATCTCAGTCTCTTGGTCCCACGGACCAGGCGGGTCGTATCGTCTGCAAAAGTAACGACGGTGAATCGCGATATAACACTAACGGCTTGACCTTCATTACTTCTCCTTGTTTTTGTGATGGCAGGTGAACTACCCTTTGAGTGTAATTGAAACATTATCGACCATGCAGCCTGACTAAATGTGGTCATTTATGGACGCAAAGACCGCCTCAGCGCGTTATGCGCTGTGCGCATTGCTCCCGGGCTTTGCGGTACAGCATACCACTTCAGGCATGGTCTGTGCTGCCATCTAGCGGCAGTTCTCAAAATTACACAGCATGACCAAATATGTGGGGCGCGGCCACTCTGCACTCTGCACAGTAGGCGTGATATGTAGATGCAAGCTAGCTTGGATCGTTTAACACTTATTGCGCTGATAAGTTGTTAAGACAATCTATTAAGAATTGTATCAAGGGCACTTCTCTTCTTTACTAATATGGAGCGACCACAAATAGCAATCAACAGCCTATAACGCTCACATCAAACAAAGACACCCCTAACGCTTTCAAATCTCTTCTGGAGGTACCCCTTCTCGTGTACATACCTTTTCTGCAGGACGTAGTTCATCGCAGGCGTGTCGGCAGTGTAGAGCGGTGCCCAGGACAGTTTGGCAGACCGGGATGTAAAACTGACCACCAGAGGACGCTGAGGCGCCTGCGGGACGTCTGAAACAAAGGAGAAGTGCGTTATGGGAAACGGGAATAGTTGACTTCGTTTTAAAGTTGTAAAAGATATGGAATTTAGAACTAAATAATTTGGATAAGTTATATGATATGTAAGGTAGTGACGATAATCCTGGGTAAGCAGGTGAGCGCACGTGTGTGATTTATGTTTGCATAAAACAAATGTGTGTTGCAGGTGTTTCACGGGAGGTAAACCGGCTACGCGAGCATGCCTCATCAGCATCACCAAATCATTTCAGAGCATTTCGCTCAAATCTATTCGCACTGCGGTGCGGCGAATTTGTTTGCTAACATCCAGACCGTCAAGTGTCCCCGCCATCCCCGCTCATTTCACTACCCCCGTTCGTTACTGCGCCGCCAACTCTCTGCGTCTTCAGTGATGCGCCGACTTTTAACGAGTGCCGAGCGCCATCGACGGCCCTAACGACGTGACTGCAGCGCCGTCGTCTGCCTTCCATCTGCACGGGTGGTCCGCGGCCGAACCGTAAAATATTTCACCACCGCAACAACAAATCGCTGGGTAGTGCGGCGGCGGCGGCGGCGGCGGTGACGGCGACGAACAAACAGCCGCGTTCGAGCACCGCTGTCAGCTCGAATGACGCCGGTACAATGTCGCCAGTGGAGCGGCAGAAGCGCAGACTGACAGCCGGTGTAATCGGCGTCCGGCCGTCTCCCAGCGGCCACCGTATCGCGCTGTCTGTGACCGAGCTGAGGTCAGAAGTTAGTGATGGCTGTCGGTGCGGTTCGGGCCGCGATTTGACGGATCTCACTCAGTCTGCCGCAAGGTTTCGATAAGCAGGCCGGCTGGGGTTGACGGGGTGACTCATGTCTGGCTGCAGGGAGACGTGGTGAGTTATGATCGTGCAGGTTTGTGACCTCAGGTGGAGGCGTCTGGGTCTCAGAACCTCTGCAGACAGGCTCCCTGCCAGGGTGGTCGTATGCAGAGGACAACCAATAACCATATCTCACCACACCGCGGCACTCGATGGCCACAAAGCCTCCGCACCGTCTGGTGTTACAATGCAGCGAGATGCAAGGCGTCACACTCCAATGATATAAATCGTTCTCAGCTCTTTCCGAGCTGCTTCAATAATCACCTCTGACTTGACTTGACTCCGCAGATAACCACCCAGCCCTGCCTTCACCGCGTGCCGTAAACTGCGTATCCTGTCGCCGCGACGGCTGGCACGCAGTGGCGGCGGACCCGGCACTAAACCTCTGGGCCGCGTTCATTAGCCCCCTGCGGAGCTCTGAAGAGCCGCACGTGCACCTGGTGCACGGGGTCAGGGGTCGGAGCGGAGCCTCTGCCCGGGGCGACCGCGCGCCGGCCGTCACGGAACGAACAGACCCGGCAAGCGCGGGCTGGAGCCGAGAGAGGCCGGCAGCGTATTGTATTGTATTGTATTGTATTACCTTCATGGACAATCCACGCGGGGCGTGGCGATTACAGTCCAGAGTCTGAGTCGGGCACAGACAAAAACATGCGGGGACAAGAAACACAGGCATACAAATTCAATCGCTGGACATTCGCTCTCTCTATATACAAACGGACGATTCAAGACAGCACACCGCACACGGATGTCGCACCTCCTTCCCCTGACACGGGTCATCGTCGGGCGGTCGTCATCGCCGGACAGACTGCAGCCTTGGCCGCACGGGCGAATTGGGCGGGGCGCTGTTCGATGACACCGGGAGGCAGACTGTTGAGTAGCGCCGCGGCCCGGTAGGCGAACCGTCGCTTGCCAGTCTCGAGCCGCGAGCGTGGAAGGTGGAAGAGGTGGTCCTGTCGTGTGGATCTCTCTCGCGCGTCACTGTTATTCGTGAAGATGGCAGCTAGTGCTTCGGGCTCGCCGTTGCTTATTATTTTCTGCGCAGTTACCATGGTTTTAACATCGGCCATAGCTTTCGGAGGCATCCATCCGAGTGAATCGCGGAGGCCAGAGACGTGATCGAATTTCCGGCGGCCGAATATGACCCGTGCTGCAAAGTTTAGAATTTTTTGGAGTCGGTCGAAGTTTTTCTGGGAGCCGTTTCCATATACAGTGAGGCAGTACTGGACGCGCGAGATGACGAGTGCAGTCACGATCGTTTTGAGGATACCGTCTGGGAGGCAGTGTCGTGCGTGGGAGAGGCCGATCAGTACGCCCGTGCAGCGACGGCTCAGCTCGGCCACGTGTGCTTCCCAGGTGAGTGCGCCGTCGAATACAACACCTAGGTTTCCCACCTGCGCGCACGGCAGGAGCTCAGCGTCACGGAAAGAGATTTTGAAGCGAGGCAGGTTACGTAGGTTTTGTCGGCTACCGAATACCATCAGTTGAGTTTTAGAAGCGTTGACTTTCAGGGCGTGTGCGCAGAACCATGCGTTAAGTGACTCTAGCGATGCCTCCATGCGCGAGATGAGACTCCTGATGTCGTTGCGTGGGCCGCTCACCAATATCTGGGTGTCGTCTGCGTACTGATAAGCGGTGGCGTCTCCGGCAAATAGTGAGAGGTCGTTGGAGAATATAGTGAAGAGGAGGGGACCCAGAGCCGAACCCTGGAAAACTCCTACGGTGTTTGGGAGCGGTCGAGAGGTTATCTTACGGCCGGTTTTGTCTTTCAGGGATACACTCTGCGTGTGTCCCTGAAGATAAGCGGAAAACCAGGAGGTCTCAATACCGTAGATTTGGAGCTTTTTGACAAGGAGTTCATGGTCAATGACGTCAAAACATTTGCTGAGGTCTATGAGGCATAGCATTGAGATCTCACCCCTATCGGTGGCGGCAAGGATGCTATCTGTGACTGACAGCAGCGCAGTCTCAGTGGAGTGTCGGGGGCGGAATCCGTGTTGGGTAGACGAAAGAAGGTGGTTATGGGTGAGATAGTGATAGAGCTGCTGATGGATTACACGCTCGATGATTTTCATGATTACGGGAACTAGGGAGATCGGTCTGAAATTGCTGGGGTCAGATGGGTTGCCAGACTTGAAGATCGGTTGAACGATAGAGTGTTTCCAGGGGTCAGGAATGTCGGAACGGGTTATTGAGACGTTGATGATGTGTAAAATGATGTCGCCAATAGTTTGGAAGCATACTTTTAACATGCGGATGCATATACCGTCAGTGCCACGCGCGGCAGAGTTTCGCATGTTGAACACTGTGAGTCCGAGTTCCCCGAGAGTGATGGCCCTCGGCCTAAAGCTGCATGCGCCGACACGGGGTAGACGTACATTTAGATCAGTATCGTTGTTTTGGGTACTCAGTTCGGCGGCAATGCGGGGCCCGACAGAGACGAAGAAGGAGTTCAGATCGTCGGGAGATAGATCGGGCTGAATATTTGGACCATCTTTCTTTCCGGCGATCACTGATTTGATGCTTTGCCAGACTTTGTTTACCCCACGCTCGCTGATCTCGTTTTGGAGGACGTGACGGCGGTCTCGGCGTAAGGCGGCACGGACGGAGCGGTTAAGAGCCTTATACTCGGGAGACTCGCGGCCTAGCCGACGTAACGCGGAGCGACGTCTGGACATAATGTCGCGGGTGGCGGCAGATACAGGGGGCGCTGTAGGATTTCTTATCAGCACATTTTTGAGGGGGGCATGGTCGTCGAAGACAGGTAGAAAGTTGTCTAAAAAGACCTGCCACTTGTCAGCAACAGACGTCGAGCGGACGGATTACCGACTTCTAAAGAGGCATATTAACTGGAAAATATAGGAGCATCCATCACATAAAGTGACCGCTGACCAAAAATAAAGTACCGCAGTAAAGGCTGAATTTGCAAGTAAAATTTGATCGTGCTTTTAAGTTTATAGTCAATGCTTTCATACACGCGGCGTCAATCAATTTCAGACAGCTTATCGGCGCTCTTACATGCGACGAAGCATCTCCGTAAATAGTTCATGGTCTAGTTTATAACAAACACAGTTTTTAAAAACAACATCATTCCGTTTTTAATTCACAAGCGCAAGACCAATATTTATAATCCATTTATAGTTCCAAGAAGAAGAAAAGAGGCCTGCAGCAGTTTTGCCCCATTGCCCAGATTATGATCCGATTAATGTTCTAAGAAGGTAGCTTCCCTTCTCTCACGGGAGTAAACAATATCTCTGTGGCAGGCTCGGCATACAGCGCGCTTTGATATCATACTCCAGCCTCCGGCGCGTGCTGCTTTTAATCATTTTAAGATAACTCGCTAAAAGCAGCCCTGTCTAAGGTCTCTAGAGGATCAAATACTTTTGTTTTCTAAGCTAACTTATGTGAGGGATTATACGACAAAAGCCTAGCCGTCTTGAGACGGATAGGCCAGGGAATATTTATAAAGTTTCCTGCAAACCACCCACATAAAAACATGCAAATACTCCCGAATAACGTATGGTTATGATTTCAGATAAGCAACACATAAGTTACATAATACAAATAATAAACTCCCCTCTTTCCAATATCTGCTCTCATCTGGTCATTCCAAACTAATCCTACTGGCCCCACACACACACCACATAAACCCTGCGCACAGACACCCTGTACGGACTCTGCACACACCCACATACGCCCTGCGGTGATGCGCGCCTCTGGCGGAGGACCGCCGCCCGAGTGAAGTTAGTCAGCCCTGCCACCACAGCGACCAAGACAGGGACAATTTGATAGCAGAAGTTGAGACGTAGACGGGCCGAATGACAAGTTTATGTCGTCGGACAGAGGGCTGCTGAACCATCTCAGTAGAGTATCGAACAGTTCAAACCCGTTCCCCAACCAACATCAACGACGATGAAATGCCAGATACGGATCGGAACATTTTTGGAGATGTGGTGGCAGCGCACAGCTCCAAGTGGTTATGTAAAATATTGTGGTATGTACTTGCGAGCCGAGAGTGACTGCGAAGTCACATTGAAAAAGTTTGGCGACTGTTTTGCAAAGAGCTCGACGCGGCTTGCGCGCTTCAGTGTTTTCATCCACGTCAAAGTTTTTGAATCAAACACTGTAAATTATTGCGAAGTGATGTTTTCT